AAGGACCCGCGTGGTATCCGACGTCCTTTGACCAACTTCGCCGTTGAAATCTCCCCCGATCAAAGCGACGTATCGATTTGGCCGCCGGCGTATCAGCGTATCCAGGCTCTCGTAGACATCGTGTACCTCCTCCCAAGTGGAGTTAGATGTGGGGACATAGACCGAAAACAGCGACAAACCTTTTGATCGTGTGCGTGGCACATGCACCCCCATCACCCTACAAACCGCTCGATTTCCATCGACGTGCACCTGACACCCCCCCTGTTCCCAAACCTGCGTCAGCTCACTGTTTATTGCAATGGCAACTTTCCCCCGATGGATGATATTCCATTCCCCCTTTTTGGTTCGCAGTTTCTTTCTCCCACTTGCCCCAAGATTCACGTCCTGCAACAAGACCGCCTGCCATTCACGAAGTTCCCACACTTCCGCTAACTGCGCCAGTTTGATGGCTGGATCTACTGCTCCCCCGACCGCTCCCAACCTGCGCACGTTCCACGTCCCAATACGGATCCGACCCGTCATTGTACGTGTTCGGGCCTGTCGTTTACGAAACAAGCCCCGCCCAACCAACCGCTTTCGTCGTTCACGAAGTTTGTGTCGAGTTGTTTGACGACTTTCTACCTGCGAGTCAGCATAAGTTCGTCCAGACAAGAGAGAAGAACCTACTGCGGCCCAGTGTGTGACGCTCGAGAGTGAGGTCCGCTTTCGTTTCATTCTGTCTCGTGTACCGGCCCTTTGAGCATGTGCACAGCTACGTGTGCAGAACCATGGGTTGTACCCTGTTGGGGCTAAGGTTAGTCTGTTTTGCCGTATACGAAGATGACCCCCGTCATAAAGCTCGAAGAGTCGGAGCCCACCCGCCTCTTACCGGAACGGAAGGTTGAGGGGAGAGGACAGAGCCACACCGTGAGCGTTGTCCCAAGTCCCCACACCTAGTTGCCCGTCCCGTTGCTCCCCGTCGATCGGAGTTAATCCGACCACCTCTTGTAGAGGAAGGACGTTTGCCTCACCCTATGACGGCTGACCATGCGTGCGTATACGCTCGACCTTTGTGTTATTGTCCGCCCCCCTACAAGTGCGTTATATCAACTACCGTGCGACTGCGTGCGGACACCAAAGCTTTGACTGCGTCAATGTGACCTGTCAGACAAACACCGGTGACCATCAGACAACCAGACGAACTGCCGGGGACACTCAGGGGTGAACCACAAAAAAACAGGGGTGAGTTACCGGGGCACACCGCGTGGAGGTTCGGAGCATGTGCGACTAACAATTGGTTGTGTTGTTAGTCCGCTGGGTGTGTAGTGCGGGGGCAGTACACGAGCTTGAGGTTCGCAAATGTCACATCACTCTTTTTTGTCTCACTGCGTCAAACTTGAAACTGTTATTGTCTTAACACTGCCTCAAGCAAGCCCAGCGCCCTTTGCCTCCATCTGCATCCTCTCCGCTGCTGTCCTTGTCATACTTGGAGCGACGCCGATCTGCCTCTTGCTCCTGCAGCCATTCGCGATTGGACTTCATCGTCTTCGCCTCTGCCTTCTGCTGCTCAGCCATCCACTCAACGTATCCAGATGCACGGGCCCCCCCGACTTCATCGACGCTTCCTCTGGTGTTCTAGTCAAAGGGGTCGAATGTGGGACGCTTCGGGTTCCGTCTCACCGCAATCTGGATCTCTAAGATTCGGCGAACAACATGCTCCATGGCAGCAATATTGCTGACGTCGAGCTGGTCATAGGAAATGCTCAACCGCAAAATCTGCAACAAGTTCTTGAGCTCATGCGCCGCAGTGCTGTGATCTGACAGCCCGGACTTTCTCATGAAGGCTGCATGGTAGGCGGTCAGATCTCCTCCGCTCTCTAGCCCTGACTCCAAAGACTCCTTGGCGGCTTTTGGTCCGCGATGTGGCCAGTCACTGAGGTCTCCGGATTCATGCTCTCAAGGCCTTTGAAAGTGCCAACTGCCTCTTTCCAGATGACAATCGGTTGCACCCCAAATCCTCAAGTCTCCAGCATCGCCTCCTGGTAGGCCTGGCCTCTTCGCCTCCTTCCACTTGTCGAAGTCCTCGACAAGCTCTGCAGTGAACATCTCTCCTCCTTTCACACGCAGTCTCTTGCGAATCGCACCCGGCTCAAGAATGACATTGGTCTGAGGGTCACTGAGCTCCCTCTGTGGAATGATGTTGCCAAACCGCTTCGAGTCAACATCGGCAACCATCCCCACCACCTGTCTGAACATCCTCTCACTGGCGCAAGACTGTCTGCCTGACGTTTCATGTCTTGGTGCTGCTGCATGAGGTTGCCGACATTAGGAACATACATCATCCCCGCATACTGGCCTGGGTAGGGGGAATTTCTGTTGAGGGGGATGACCGTCATGTTGAAATAGTCTACATCATAGTCTGGTGTAGAGATTATCCATGTAGACCCGTCCACACGAGACCAGAGAGTTCTATGGTGGTAGTCCAAATTGTTGGCGTCACCAGTGAACCCAACAAGCATCTGCAATTCAGGGACGTCAAGGATCCTCGGATTTGCAGCAGCCATACTCAAGCTGCCACGCCTCGGCGACCTCTCGCACTGCCAGACTCAACCGCCGGCTCGGCCGCTGGCTTCTCAAATCGTTTCAGTCTGACCAGTCCAGTCAGAAATCCACCGGTCAGGGCCCCCAGCAGGAAGATCAAAATCAAAAGCCGCAGCCAGTCAATGAATCCCCGGGATGATTGATCTGGTTGAGCGGTGGTAGTAGTGAGGGTGGTTTGATCAAAACAGGTGGTCAAAACTTCTTTCACCAATCCAGTGCAGGCTCGAAAAGATTCCCGACCCAGTTGCAAACAGCTGCTCGGTCACTGCTGAGCTGGAAAAGGTGAAGTACAGCATTTGCCAGCTGAAGATACCCACCCCACAGATCGACCATCAACATAACACGACTAAGCCGTGCGAAGCCTTGAGCCCGAGGACATCGGGCACAACATCTAAAGGAACAAACCAGGAAGTGGACAGAAGAATACTTGTCTGCGTACGTGCAGAAATATGTCTGTACGTATTATGTATGCATGCATACATGTCGGAACGATTGAGGGAGTGGATGAATGGATGAATGGAAGAATGGAAGAATGGATGAATGCATGAATGCATGAATGCACGAATGCATGAACACATGAATGCATGAATGCATGCATGCATGCATGCATGCATGAACGAACAAACGAACGAATGAATGAATGAATACATGCATGAATGCATGAATACATGAATGCATGAATGCATGCATGCATGCATGCATGCATGCATGCATGCATGCATGAATGACTGACTGAATGAATAAATGAATGAATCAATGAAAGCCCTGTCTGTCTCTGTCTCTCTTTCTGTGTCTGTCTCCGTTCTCTCTCTCTCTCTCTCTCGCTGTCTGCCTGCCTGCCTGCCTGTCTCTGTCTGTCTGTCTGTCTGTCTCTCTGTCTGTCTGTCTGTCTGTCTGTCTGTCTGTCTGTCTGCCTGTCTCTGTCTGTCTGGCTGTCTGTCTGTCTGCCTGTCTCTCTCTCTCTGTCTGTCTGTCTGTCTGTCTGTCTGTCTGTCTGTCTGTCTGTCTGTCTGTCTGTCTGTCTGTCTGTCTGTCTGTCTGTCTGTCTGTCTGTCTGCCTATATCTCTGTCTGTCGTCTGTCTCTGTCTGTCTGTCTGTATGTATGAATGTCCTTTTGTGTGGCGTATAATTCCGCATAATTGGTTGACATGTAATGTAATGTTGGTATGTAGTGGTGTGTACTGTTATGTCACGGTATGTAATGATATGTATTGGTACGCTGTACTGGAATGCAACGCTATGTGTTGGCATGTGATGGCATGCGGTGGTGTGTAATGGTATGTACCAGCGTCTAATGCTGTGTAATGATATGCAATGGTATGTAATGGTAGTTAATTGTATTTCAGGGCATACCCACGTGTATGTCATGTGTATGCGTGCATTCACATGTACAACCATACATACCTAGGAAAACATATATATATATATATGTGTGTACGTATGTATAAATACATACAATTATGCCTAGGAGAAACTAAAGTGGAAAAAATGTGTTTTTTGTTGCAACTATAGAAATTTCAGTTGAACATCGCCATTTCGTTCAAAAAGCGCCTTTGGAGCCCCTTTCAAATGGAGCAGGGTTCGGTAAAAAGCGCCTGTGCATCAGTTGTATCGGGCAAAAACGCCTCCGTCGGCTTGTTGCATACATCCAAAACGACAAGATTCAGAGAAATCGCCCCAAGGCCAAAGTATGATGACCTTCCCTGAAGAATCAGTTTTCGACGGAAAGGCACAACAAATCGAGCTTAGGAAGACCCAGGCATATATGTGTATGTATGTATTGTCATATATATATATGTTCAAATGCTGCGTACAATTTTTAATACTACTAAACAGCGTGTTTCTGATACTTCAGTCAACATTGCCCCAAAAGCATGCTTCAACCACTCAGAAAGAAACTAAGGACCCCTCGTTAGCCCTGCTAACCAAGGCACTTCTGAAAAACTGAACAAAATCCCCAATCAGCAACCTAATCCCCTTGTCGGGAAAGGATCTCAGTTTCAGGGTTCCAGCTGTCTTCTGGAGGGCAAAGCATGCCAACAACTCTGAATTTCTGATTAGGATCTTTTCACGGGCGGCGGTTTAACTGTCCGCCATTCCAAACAGTTGTCATGGAAAAGTCGTGCCCACAAACGGCGAGAAGCTTGAAAGAGTAGATTTAGGCCGCTTTGTTCGCTATGCCTTGGAATCTCTATGCTGGAGTTTCAAAGCAACCCGCGAAGTCGCTGAGTTTACAGCTTTAAAGCGTTTAAAGCTCAGCCTTCAAGCTGCCGGCATCTGCCGGTAGGTCGCAGGGAAACGGGGCCAACGATTTCTTGCTTGGCCGGTTCTGGCGAGAGGAACCGGCTAAAACACAAAGCACGGGCCTTCCTTTAGCTTTTGTTTCCGTTGCCGCAAACATGAAGCATGTCGGCCAGACCCATCTCCAGACCCGAAAGAGCCAAACCTCAGCGTGCTCCCATGGGTTTCTGTGGATCGGCGTGCCAATTTGGGCATTTGTCAATACAGCACTAGGAGTCCTCCCCTTTAGATCCACTCAAAAGGAGGGCCGACATGCAGCCAGGGACCGGGTTGAAGCACCCCTTCAGGGGACCCCAACAGAAATCTGTGGGCATTCTGACTCACGTGAGTTTGGTGACACAAGCTTACTTCAAGCTTGCAGAGCATGCGGCGACATTGAAAGAGGTGTGCTGTGCATCTGCGTTGTCCGCCTCTTCAATCCACCTTTTCCCGGGCAACTGCTACACAACCTGCATGTTGAATACATGTTCCATAGCGCACTTTGTGACATGATTGTGCAGTTGCTAAGTGCAGCTGCTACTTGCGGATATATCCAGATACTATCGAACGGGTGTTTGATGGAATAGGGCACGGCTCCAATTGCTTTTGTTCGAGCCGTCTTCTAACACGTACGAAAGGAGGAGGCATCCCGTTTCTTTGGACACCAAATCAAAAAACCAAGTCAGCACTTCATTCAAGCATGGCAGGAAGCCTAATCAACTCAATTCATGGGCGACTTGGAGGGATCCTAAAACTAAACTCCGGGACCTCTCTTTGCGATGGGGTTCAAAGAGAAGCCAAAAGGAAATAACAGTCTTAGCGGCTCCATTCAGCTTTCGGAGACACCCACCCATCACTTTGCATGGTTGTCCCCTGCTAGCGGATCCTTGAATCAAGGTGGATATCTCATTCTGCCCAGTAAAGCCCATTAAACCTTCAAACAAGGCCAAAGCTGCACGAAATGTTCAGGACTGGCAACGAGGTTTCCGGCTAGAGCTGCCCCGAGCCTCTTACATGAGCCAACAAAAAGCATGTCGGTTTTCGTCATGGACATGGGAAAATCCGCGAGTCCCTTCCATTGTTGGACATTTAGTGAGTCCCATGTTAACCAGGACCATAGATTACTACAAACTTCGAGGGGGTACAAAAACTGCCAACAAGGGCACCCTTGAAAGGGAGCTTGCTGCATTGCTTGCCTCCACAAACAAAATTTGACAAAAAGTCCCAACTGGAGGTCGCCAGCAAACCGAGACTGGACGACTCCGGGCCGACGGCTCCCGGATCGGCTTGAAGCCCTCCATGTCCAGCACCTGCAGTCGACCCAGGTGGCTTCCCTTCGCTTCCCTGAATGCGTGTCCGCAAGCAATGGCTTTAGGCCAACCCTCAAAATCGACGGTTCCTGTTGGTGTCTTGAGCTGGTGAAGGCAAACCCAAAGAATGCCAGCCAGTTTTCCGGGTGCACCTCTTTTCAATTGAGATCACAATGACATGACCAGGAATTCATTTCTATGGGTCCCGAGCTTGATACACAGCCAAATGACCTGGAGATCAAAGGTTCATCTCTAGATGGCAACACACGCAAAAAAAGCGTTGGCCCTGATCTTTGCGGGCCACGAAATGAGTGGTACAGGCCTTTCAATTCCCTCGCTACCATGAGGGTGCCTAGAGCATAATGTTCCTTGAACAGGTACCTTCTGGTGGGTGCCATGTTGGTTGGTGATGGTACATGCACCAAGTGTTTCGGCCACATGACATACAACCGAATTCGTCCTGGCAATCAAGTTGTCAAGCGTGCAAAGATAGAGACACAAGCCAAGTACGAGGAACCTGCGCTATTCATCATGTCCTTTTAAAATACGGTTCAGTATCACGGGTAAGTTCAAGCAGGTCCTTTGGCAGTAACACAATGCCAATGCTATCGTCAAGAATGGTAGAGACTCGGTTGGGGACGGGAATGGTGTTCAGTAGAGCGCCAGTGAGCAAATATTAAGAGACGGCGAGATGGCACAGCTGCATGACTACAATCATGGATGAGTGATGCTTGAGAAGTGGTAGACGTCATTTGCACGGGGAGTGATGTCCACCAACCATCTTCCAGCGCCTGCACGCGGTGGTTGGCAGAGTCGCACACCAAGAGGCAGCCTCAGCAAATTCGCTGGGATCTGGGCTAGGATAGTGCCAGCATACTTCTGAAGGCTTGTCGGATGTACTACAGTGCGCCACAAAATCAGTATGGTCGTGATTCGCTTGCAGGGACTGCTCATAAGGGGAACGATGCCTATTCCTTATACTGCAATTAACTTGTGGTTCTGAGCATGCCACTCTTGTACCAACTAGGGGTTTGGGCGCGTTTGCCATGAAATCACCTTGACCACTAGATGACAGCTCACTGACCTGAAAAGGGTTGCCCCCAAACCAAACATCACCAGAAACACGAGTCAAAGGTTGCTGTCGGCTGCAATCAGCCACTTGTTGCTCAATGATGGCGAGTTCACCAAATTAAACTCGCAAATCAACTCTCTTTTGTTTGCACAGCAAAAAGCACCACAAGCATGTCGCTGGAAATCCAGGGCATTAGGAAGGAACCTGGTTGCTGCATGTTTAGTGGTACTTGATCTGGCTTGTTTACATGGAACCTGCATTGCTTCTCAATGAGCCTGGCCGCTTCAAACATTGAGCAACGGCTACCAAGCAAAGTTCAGAGGGGCGAATGGTATCCAGGAAACTATTCATGTGAACCACGGATGTTTTTGTTACACGGCGGATGAGAAGAGTGTTTCCCAAGCAATCTGCATGCCCGCTAAACTGGGCCACTATTCACAAAGAATGGTAGGGTTCTCAGTACTCGAAGCCTTGAAATACTGCACTTGCATTCTAAAGTGTCAACACGCGGATCTCAGGAAATTGATCTGATTGATCGCTGAGAGCAACGTAGTCACAAAGAACGCCAGCAAGATGCAAGATGGGTTGGGTCAAAAGGGTCTCCGCTTTCTCCACGTTCATAACCAGGCAAGACCTTGAGATCAACCTAGAAGCGCAAGCGGGCAATTGTTCTTTCAATGATAAAATTGCCAAAAGAGGCAGCAAGGTCAAAGCATGAAGCAATGAACACAGAGAAGGATCTGAGTTCATCTCCCTGGTGAATGCACTGCCCACTTGCTCCGTCCATGGTCTTTCAAGGCACAGAATGCTGAGTTGAAGACATCCATGCGTGTCCAAGGGTAGTGAGGAAACCGATTACAACCCGCTGTTCGATTTTTGACAACAACTAGATACTGGAAGTCAGATCCTGTTGATCAGATGTATCTATGAAGAGATTAATCATACATGAAATTGCCAACGAAACATATGCATGCAATACATAGCCTGTAGCATGTGGCAAGCTAACAAAACCGGTCTCCCTCGTCAACTCCTCAAACCAACACATGCACAACATGACCACATTTCGTGGGTCCACCAAAATGGCCAAATTGGGCCTACTGCTTTCCCATTGTCCCAAGATATCCATACTCTGCTCTCAATCAACACCTGGTCTAAAGGGATGGGAAAACTGACATCCATGGTAACACTGCAACTGGATTGTGGCTCATACCTGCTCTCTCTCTCTCTCTGTCTGACTTTCCAGACCCCTAGGTGCTGGGCCGTTTTCGGTCAGCCCGAGGCCCTTGGGGAAGGAGAATTGCCCCAGGCCTCATGGCTGCCGGCCATAAACACTGGTCTGACGCCTGTAGGCCATGGGTCTCCCATAAGAAACACTGGAATAAAACCCTGTGCAAGGGTTCATGCAACCCTTCTGATCTCAAACTATTAGGCAAATGACTCTGAGTAAACCCAAGTGAGGCCTTTTCACCAAGCAACAGAACGCAAGCCACGGATGTGCGTTCGTCCGGCAGAACCTGTTCGATGGGATGCGCACGTCCGGGGTCTTTCTGATGGGGCAAAATGATCTGATTTTGCGTTATCTGAGAACGCTATCTCTCCTAACAACCCTGTCATCAGAACACGCAAGTAGAGGTCCAGGATATGCAAAGGGACAGCCCCTGTCAGAACTCATAACAACCTTGCTTGCCGTGGGTTGCAAATATCTGCACCCCAACAAACCAAGGTGGTGTGTTCCTCTAACTGCGGGCTTTGCACTATTCTTCCCGTCTAGTGCCTGAACATGGAAACCACACAAAGTGTAGACCCACTGTAAGTGAGGGGATGCCTCAAAACCGTGCGATGGTCAATTGAACACTCATCGTGCGGATCATAGTCATGGCTCGCTCAATTGAGTGCCTGACGTTGCTTGGTTAGCATCCCAATTAAAGGGCCGATGAGCATCACTGGAAGCTCCAAGCAGGGCAGAGCTTTCGAACACGGCGCACACACACACACACACGTCCCCCAGCGCAGTGTGTCCGAAAAAATGGATATTAAGCCCGCCTGTCCATGCTCTTTCCATGGAAGGCAAAGCAAGCATTAGTGAGGGCGGTGCCTTTTTTGAGCTTGATACACCAACCATCCCTTTTTTGTGTAGTTGGACCCTGTAGTGAAGGCACCCGCTTAGAGGGGGCAAGACGCTATTGACAGTGCGGGCCGGATAGCACGCTCTGGGTCTCAATCGGGTCTAAACATGGGCCGTTCGAAACACAGGCTTGGCAAACCTGACTTCCCAAAATATAATATCGATGACATCCCCAGCTGTGAACTCTTCCCAAATAGAGCGCAAAGCAATTTTCGCTGGGAGACGCCTGGGGTCTTGCTTCAAGAGAGAGAAAAACGACTTATAGTGATGTTTGATGTCTAAGAAGTAGGCCGGGTTTCAGCCTGACGGATTGAAGAGCTTGAGCGGGGTCCTTATCATGTGTGTGCGTGTGCGTGTGTGCAGTGCTGAGCGGGCGCCCTTCAGTCCGCAACTTGGTCTTCCTTCGGAATCTCTTATCAAAGCCGGGACTGCTATTGAAATCGCTACGCGATCCGCCGACGCCAGTGGACAGTCCCCCATTAACAAACTGCAGGGTGCCTCAAGTTTGGGGTCAGGAAAAAGGCGTCTTTTTGCCTAGGTCATTTTTCATGTCCCAGATGCTGAGGATGCTGGAAATGCAAGGGATGCAGCCACACAACTTACAAGAACAAACCCAATCTTCACGCTCAAAATTTTAAGACTTTCACACACGCGACATTGACCAAACACAGAAAATACGAGAGTTGTGGGGAATGCTGGGAATGCAGCCGGCTAGCCACAAAAAAAGTGCAAAAAACCAGGGTTTTTCAATATTTCCCAAAAGCAGCCATCAAAAACCGATACTAGCAACCCCCCTCAAATACCCTAAGAATAGACTTCCAAAAGCACGATAATGCAGAGGATGTTTCGCAGTAACTGCTCCGTACAGGTGGGGAATTGCAAGAAAACTCATTTTTTGCAGATTTCAACAGTTCCTCAAGTGTCACTGCACTTGGCTTCACCCAAACCCCTAACAGGCCAATTCCAACATCGCTTGAGACAGCAACACGCCACTAGTATCTGCAAAAGAAAGAGACAAATTCATGGCAACAAGATCCTGATGATGCTGGGGATGCAGATCCTGCGCGTCCGCCCCCCCCTAGAGACCTAGGCGAAACGCAGATTTCTAGCACGAAAGACCCAAAAACACTGGAAAAATACAGGGTTTTGGACACGTAGCCCAGCATGCCCCAAAAATAGCAGTCCCAAAAGCCTTCGGCTTTGATAAGAGATTCCGAAGGAAGACCAAGTTGCGGACTGCCATCTGCACGCTCGACTGGCGTCGGCGGATTTTTTCGGCATGCTGTGCTACGTGTCCAAAACCCTATATTTGTCCAGTGTTTTTTTGTCTTTCGTGCTAGAAATCTGCGTTTCGCCTAGGTCTCTAGGGGAGGGGGGGCGTTTCTCCCGGACGCGCAGGATCTGCATCCCCAGTGTCTCTTTCTTTTGCAGATACTAGTGGCGTTTTGCTGTTTCAAGCGATGTTGGAATTGGCCTGTTAGGGGTTTGGGTGAAGCCAAGTGCAGTGACACTTGAGGAACAGTTGAAATCTGCAAAAAATGAGTTTTCTTGCAATTCCCCACCTGTACGGAGCAGTTACTGCGAAACATCCTCTGCATTATCGTGCTTTTGGAAGTCTATTCTTAGGGTATTTGAGGGGGGTTGCTAGTATCGGTTTTTGATGGCTGCTTTTGGGAAATATTGAAAAACCCTGGCTTTTTGCACTTTTTTGTGGCTAGCCGGCTGCATTCCCAGCATTCCCCACAACTCTCGTATTTGGTCAATGTCGCGTGTGTGAAAGTCTTAAAATCTTGAGCGTGAAGATTGGGTTTGTTCTTGTAAGTTGTGTGGCTGCATCCCTTGCATTTCCAGCATCCTCAGCATCTGGGACATGAAAAATGACCTAGGCAAAAAGACGTCTTTTACCTGACCCCAAACTTGAGGCACCCTGCAGTTCGTTAATGGGGGACTGTCCACTGGCGTCGGCGGATCGCGTAGCGATTTCAATAAGGATCTTGAGGATTGCCAAGATGAACAACCCACCAACATGGTTGTAGTTTTGTACGGTTCTTAGCATCTCCATGAATTTGGGCATCCGAAACCAGAAATGGGCAGTAGGACTCGGTTTCGGGACGCTCACTTCTCCGGGGCAGCCGCCACTTCCTTCGTGGCCCACCGTCCGGAGAAACACGAGTTCCTGGCTCCTGACCCCGTTGAAGGTTAAACCGAGGAGCTCTGAGTCACGAGAGTTGGACGACTAGCTCTGCCTTTCTGGACCTGCGAGTCAACATGAGACCAGGGTGCCAAAGCTAACTGAGCCTGTGCGCCCGACTAGGTGTATGGCGAGCCTTCAAATTGCAAGACTATCTCAAGCAGGTGTCTGAAAAGAGTCTTCTTGGTCGGCCCCTTCGGCCCCTTCGGCCCCTTCGAGCAATGCGCGGCCATGCCGCCCAGCGCCGACGCCGTGGATTGCAAAATGCACGCTCTTAGGCACCAGTACTTGATAAACCACCTCAAACTGGTGCCGAAGGCCGCCAGATTTCGTAACTGTGCCTTTTGGTGTCTAAAGCGTGGCCTTCTTGACGAGTATCCTAAATGTTGGTTGTGGTGTTGAAAGGCAAACCTAAACTCACCTGTGGTCAGAGCTCCCTCAGGCGGGCCACAGGTCATGGATCCCTGCATAGGAAGCCTTGCAGTGGTTGTCCAAAACCCCTTTTTTTAAAGTTGATGACCATCCTTAGTTTCACAAGCAGGTCTTCTGATCGTGGCCCGCCTGAGTTGCTTGTCGCAAGTCGGAACTATTTGTTGCCTTTGGTCTGATCAAGACGCCTTTAAGGTCCATAAATTGAAGGTGAGTGCGGGAAGCCAACCATTTTGTTGTCCCATTCCCTTTCTCAGCTGCTGGGGGCCTTGGGCTGCCAACTGAAAGTAAACATGTTCTTTCGGGCGTAAGCTGCTTGCCTCGGAGCTACAGCCCAAAACAGAGAAGAAACAACACATGTACCAATGGGTTGCTTTCCAAATTCTATCTCCGGTGGTGCCGCCTTCTTCCTCGACCCAACATCCAGGAGGGGAGTGGGGGCTCACCGTGTCCAAAACTCCACCATCCGCTTCCAACCATTGCTGGCTTGGATCAGTGTGTGTGTGTGTGTGTTTTTTTTTGTTCAAAAGCAAAGGAACCACTTGGTCCCTCATGGATAAAACCAGCCCCTAACCTGCAAGCCATTCGGTCACCAAAGATAGCTACCATGATTTCTCTTGAGAAAACCCTTCCGCCTTGTGGGGAATAACCATGTTTCATGGTCAAACCTCACGCTTGATTCATGGTTCCCTTCATAGGAATATGTTCATTGCCTAAATTCCTTTTCAAGGATCCAGAATCGTCCTTACCACCCACAAGTAAACGGGAGGTTTGACCCTCTTTGCTTGGTCCGCAAAAACACACACACACACACAACACTTAATGTGCCCCTAAGAAAAAAAGGGCGCTAAGATCGAATCGGAGAAACCGATTCGAATCCTGGGGTGGAACTCCAAGATCTGCAGCCGGTGGTTCAGCAGGTCGGAGACCTCGGGAGTCCCATTTGGGTGTCTTGCGTCTTTCGACCCTTGAAACATGGGGCCACACTCCTTTGCAAATCAACATGGACCCCAAAGGTGGTCTAGGGGTGCTAATCTGCAGGGGAGGAACTCACCGAAGTATGGGCACCTGACCATACTGGGCCGTAGAAACATCGCCAAGTGAACGACGCAACAACTCACCTTCCTATTGACCCTGCTCATGCAAAATATCTTTGCAAAATATCTTTGCAAAAAGCAAGGTGACCTTGTCAATAGGAACCCGGTATTTTTCAACACTCCGCCGATTTATTTGCTCAGAAAGGTCCACTTTTCAACGTGGGTGCCCATCAACTTTGGTCATGGCTGGGTCGCTCAAGCAGTGACAGGAAAAACCCTCGGCAAGGATGCGCCAGGCACCGCTTTTCGTTTGCCGTTGGCAACAAACCCTGATAGTGCATTGGTGTGATGATCTGGGGGCTTGATGGCTGGTGACGCTACGCAGCTTTACAGGGGGTTTACTTTTGAGTCAACTACAGGTTGGCTAGGGGTTTCGGACCATCTAGGTGCAAGGTTAGGGGTGAGTGGTAGGATAAGTGCAGCTTGCTCAGCCTGAGATGGCAAGGGTCTCGACTGAGTTTGGATGGCCCTTTGGAGTCTCAAAGTGGGGGTGGTTGCCTTGTTGGTTTGTATTTCAGTCTCAAAAAAGGCAGTGCTCTCAAAGACACCCCCATTTGGGATATTTGCTATGGCAGTGAGGCAAATGATGCTGTTCAAGATTGCTTATCAGCTGATTGGTGTTTTCCTGCAACTCAAAATGCAAATGAATCCCAAATGCGCTCTCCCGCAAGAAGAGCACAATGGCAATTGTTTTGGGTTCCATGTTTATCTGCAAAGGAGCAAATGACTGTGGGCCCTAGTTGATGACTGGAATTTCCCATGAAGCTTCTGCGCGAAAAAACGTCACGACCTGCCAGTGAAGACCATGGCGATGGGGCACCCTGCTATCACCTTGTTCTCCCGATCCGCCACGATACCACATGGCCTACGCCGATGGCGAGGCGAGGTCTGTGCGGCGGCGGCGCGTCTCAGTGGACAGAGCTTTCCTTCAGTTCGGGGTACAGCAATATGAATGTTTGAATATCAGCCTGACTGATAAGTGTTTGCGCGTAAGGGACTTAAGGACACTGTTTGACAAGGAAATAAGCATCTGCATCACTCAACAAAGACAATAAACAATGAGTCAACCGGAGGACCAGTTACCGTGAATGCCGCGAAGACGCCAGCCGAGCTACCATTAACTTGTCCCAACTTAAGTTGAAAGCGTAGCAAGATGCTGACTTTCATCGCGTGGCGTAGCCTCTGCCTGGTGGCCACGACCGAAGGGCAGAATGCAACGCCCACGTCGCGTGCGGCAATCACAGGAAGCTGAAATTCATCCGCGCTAAGTAGGCTATAGGAGTGTTGGCTTGCGCGGGTTCATGGCTCAAAAGGGTCACGCTAGGTTGGTGGATCTAGGACCCCGCATACAAGTTCTTTGTTTTGTTCTAGTGAATGGGGAAGAGTTCCTGAAGGCAACAGCAAGCATGAAAGCGTGGGAAATATTCACTTCACAAAACAGAAGCCACGACAAAAAAAGCCGGTAGGAGCCTAGATTTGCTTCTGGCAAAATAGATGGCACCAGTTTTGTCTATCTTTAAGCAAGCAGAACCAAACGACACCTATCAGTAGGACGCAAAGGTGCCAACAAAATGTATGCATGCATGAATATATGAATACATGTAAGACAAAAAAAGCCATTCAGTACATTTAAAAGAAAACAACACACGGATGACTGATTGGTTGATTGATTGATTGATTGATTGATTGATTGATTGATTGATTGAACGAATGAATAAATTAATGAATAAATGAACGAATGAACGAATTAAAGCATGAATGAATGAATGAATGCATGAATGAACAAATGGAAGGAAGGAAGGAAGGAAGGAAGGAAGGAAGGAAGGAAGGAAGGAAGGAAGGAAGGAAGGAAGGAAGGAAGGAAGGAAGGAAGGAAGGAAGGAAGGAAAGAAGAAGAAAAAGGAAGGAAGGGAAAAAAAGAAGGGAGGAAGGAATGGATGGATGAAATGACATGACATCAAATGACATGAAATGACATGACATGAAATGATTTGAATGAAATGACATGAACATAACATGAAATAAAATATTTAATAAATGAATGAATGAATGAATGAATGAATGAATGAATGAATGAATGAATGAATGAATGAATGAATGAATGAATGAATGCATGCATGAATGAACAAATGGAAGGAAGGAAGGAAGGAAGGAAGGAAGCAAGAAAGGAAGGAAGGAAGTAAGGAAGGAAGGAAGGAAGGAAGGAAGGAAGGAAGGAAGGAAGGAATGGATGGATGAATGAACGAACGAAAGAACAAACGAATGAATGAACGAATGCATGAATGAATGGATGAATGAATGAATGCATGAAGGAAGGAACAAACAAACGAACAAACAAATGAATGAATGAATGAATAAATGAATGAATAAATAAATAAATACATAAATGAATTAATAAATAAATGAATTACTGAATGAATGAATGAATGAATGAAATTATGAATCAAGGAACGAAGGCACGAAGGAACAGAGGAACGAAGAAACGAACAAACAAACAAACAAACAAACAAACAAATGAATGAGTGAATGAACGAATGCATGCATGAATGGATGAATGAATGAATGAATTGATGAATTAATGAATGAATGAATGAATGAATGAATGAATGAATGAATGAATGCAGGAATGAATGGATGGATGGATGGATGGATGAATGAATGCATGAATGGATGAATGAATGAATGAATTAATAATTAATTAATGAATGAAATGAATGAACAATAAACAAACAAACGTCCCAAGGAACAAACACACGAACAAACAAAACAAAGGAACACGCAAACGAATGAACGAGCGAACAAATGAGCTTACAAACAACATACGAATGAATGAAATATTGAATGCATGGAGGTAGGGATGCATGCATAAATGCATGCATGGATGGGCGAACGGATGAAATGAATAGATCGATAACAAACCAATACATAAAGAAATACATAATCACGACAAGCATTCAAGGAATCACAAAGGCCGCAGCAGGGAATGGGGGACTGCCTGAAATCGGATTTGAGTCCTAGCGAACACCTGGCATTGAAGGTCTGCCCAAACCCAAGAAGGGAATTACAAGTGTGGCCGCCTCTTATTTTTAGTTGCCACTGTCTTCAACAAGTTTGGGATGTGGCTGACAGGGTGTTGTTTCCAACTTCGGGGGCTTCCAAATGCTGCCACAAAGGGGTCCCCAACAACAATGACACACACACACAATGACCCACACACACACACACACACGAACAACACACACACACCCCTCATCTTAGGCCGTCCCAAAAAATGACCTCGGGGGTAAGTGCCATTTGGTCACACCAAATGACGTCTGTGAGGCCCTTGGGCTGCCGGGCGTATCGAAGTTCGTGAGCCCGAGGCCCTTTGAGCCGTAAGCCCCTAAGACCTGGCGAATGTCGTCCGAATCAACCAGAAAACTCAGCTCGACAGAGTGCAGGACCAGTACTGGAGGTCGATCGGGTAAGAGCTGGGAATTCGCGGGACTGGAGACTGATTGCCGTATGCTAACTGTTCATGGACTTCATGGGTACGGGGGCAACCCCCAGGAATCGATTCTAGAGCTTCCAACATCGCCCAGTAAAATCCAAGACGACAACAAACCACGCCTTGCCTGCATTATGACAAATAGACAAATACGCCAATGCGGCTCCTTGGTTGGAGTTGTTGGAAGGTAGGGTAGTGCCACTCACGCACAGTTCCATGTTGGCTGGCCATCCTTATTTCAATCAATATTCTGGCAAACATTGCCAATTGACTTGTTGTTTCAGAACTCAGGGATGTTCAACACGGACGAGCTCTAAAACTTGGGGTAGATGCCCACTATGGCACCTATCACCTTTGCATGACCCATGCGTAGTATGTTGTTGGTGCTTCTGTGCATGGGGGGTTACACAAATGGGCACCTAGCCCAGCAGCAGGTCCAAAAGGCGTCTACTGCATGAAAGATTTGTCTTGATTCATCTCCTGTAATGTCGACCCGTGATTTCAAGTGGGAACCAGGTATTCAATAACTAGAAGTGTTTAATGAACCAACAGCTTTTTCAAAGAAGGGTGTGCCTTTTGGTGAGGCATCCCCCTTTGTGGATTTAAAGGGCCGCATCGGAAGCAAACTGCAACCGTCCAACTCATTTGAAGGGAAACTCATATCAATCCTGGGCTGAACTCGGGCCATCCGAAACACAATCAAAGCCTGATAGTAAAGATGTCTACCGTCTACCCAAAATCATGACACGAATTGAAAGGCCGAATATCCCGTCCCATTCATGGCTAGCACTGCCCCCTTCACGTACCCGACCGGTTTGTTTGTGGCTTTGTTAAAATTGCGCATTTGTCAACAAACGGGGGATCCCTATTCTATTCAACCCATCAACGGGTATCCTCGCAAAACACAAGCGCACTCACACACACACTTAAACTCCAAATGGAGAGTGCTAATCTTTCGAGTACAACTGATGAGTCTCGAGTACAACTGATGAGTCTCGAGTACAACTGGGGACAAACCCCATCGGCTTGCTGGTCTCTTGGCTTCCCTGTAGTTACTTCAACAGGGAAACAAGGAAGCAACAGCGGTTCAGGGGGGGACCAAAAGGACGTTCAGAGCATCACGACTTTCTCAAATTGCAGGTACGTCCAGAAGGCGTCCCTTCCGGATTTCACGACCAAACCATCACTGTCTTCGTTGGGCAGTGAGTGATGGCGATCCACTGCCCCCCTGCTGAGAAACCGAAAGGGTTGTGACAGGGCATTCTGTCACTCCGCACACACACGCCCCTCAATGAGGGGCGAGAAGTCTCCTTTTCCGCAGGAAGATCACATGCTCAACCCCGTGTCCCTATCGTTGACCAAAAAATCCACCGCGGCGAGGGGAACGAGAAACAGCCCTAAACCGCTCAGAAGACGGGAACGAGAGATCACCACGTTGAGCATTACGAGTGTCGCCATAGAGGACTGAAGCGAGTTGTGAAGCAGTCGAGCGATCACCATGAGAAAACGGAGTAGCATAGGTAAACGTCTCCTCAACTGGAATGGCATCGGAATTCCGAACTTCACCAAGAGATTGATCATGCGAATGATGAGTTGTAAAGGACTCCATTCGAGACAGAATGCGCTGGTATCCCTGATGCTGCCAGTCGCGGATGGTCCATGCCTGACCGTGCTCACCAGTGCGCCCATTGGGATCAGTCACCCGCTGCCATTCCCGAAAAGAATTGTCTGGTAGATCAGGTACAGTTTCTCCGTGGTGCCATCGCTGAGGCTGTCCTGCAGTGTAGATCCGCACCCACTCCTGATCCTGCCAGACCGAGTATTCGAGCCATGGGTGCTGCTTCGAATCCTCGATGTCCATGTCGAAGTAAGAGGCAAGGCGTATCGCGGGCTCCGATCCAGCTGATAGAGGAACAGGCACCATGCACAACCATGTACAAGCAACAACCAAGCAAGGTAATGCAAGTGTGAAAACCACCCTTATTTTGTACGCTACCCCACTCGCGTGCGTCTAGTCCTCATTTAGCTCGAAGATAGGTCCCGCCTTGGCTTTGCAGCTGTCGGGAGGATTAACAGGCCGGTATGGGTCGGAGACCCCAACCGTCTCCGATGGTGTGATTCCACGTGATGCACGTACAGGTTGATGAAGTTGGGAAGCGTGACGTGCGCGAGCTGTCAGTTGTTGAGAAATCCCCTCTTGGAGACGAGTCAGTTCTTCGGTAGAGAAATCCGCCGCATCCGAGGATCTAAGGATCGCTTCTAACATCTGCGGTGACATACTCAATGCCGCGGATTGCGTGGCCACGCTGTGATGATCAGGAAAAGACATAGAATCAAAGTCATGACCAGCTTGAGGGGCAGCGACTCTCCGATAGCCCTCTGTGGCCCAGTCTCTTTTGTACCACATGGTGACATTGAGCTGCTCACCGTCTTGGTCCGGGTTGGGAGCATAGAACTCCCTCCACTCTCTATACGTGTGCGGTGGAGGTGGAGCATCATGTTCTTCATGTGGAGTCCATGATCCCGGATGAAAGATCTTGACCCACTGGGCATCTGGTTGTTGAGGATCCGGACACCATTCCAGCCACGGCATGACAACGCAAACCCGGAAAGACAAATTGATAGGTGTACGGCTGCAGACAACAATTACTGAAAGAGACACAACTGCCACAGTGCAAGAAATCACTTTTGCAGCAATGCACGGCTCCGGTATCGAAGTCAATCTCCCGAATCGAATTGAACTGAACAGACTCCCCAGGAAGGCGAGGACGAGCATCAGCCACCATCCGAGTTGGAGGATGCCGATGAAGAGGTCAATCCAGCGTACATGAGGTCCGGTGCGCCCGAAGCGAAAACTGGCCGCGCAATGCTAGGGTGTGGGCGACCCAGCCGTTGGTATCCCCTGGTGACCCAGTCTCTATAATGCCAAGTATAGAAGGATGCATAAGATACCGGCTGCGAAACAGCACCTGTATTGGTGCCGCCTGTGCTATCCCTCGGCCAATACACTTCGAAGTGGTAAACCTTGCGCCATTCCCGATAGGTGGTTGAGTCATCCGGGGCTGGTCCCAAGGTGTTCTCGGCGACTGGATGCCACGGACCCGGTACATAGATCCGAATCCATTCTACACTCGTATTCGCGGGGCCATTGACGATGTCGTAGTCAAAGTAGCGAGGCAGGACCCATCGTGCTGCGCTATACATTGTACAATTGAACATATCAACCAGGCAAACCGCTCAGAGTCAAATGAAAGCGGCGAACAGCTGGAGACGGAACGCACAACACCAAGCAAGACAACCCAACATGGAATCGCATACAAAGCAAGCACAACCGCGTCATTTTATCCGACATGTTGCTCAAGTATCACTCCGAATCGTTCCAAGGATCATAGAATGGTGGTGGTGACGGCTCTCGCCACGCCCCATCCGGAACCGATGAGTCCACCGAGGAATTGGCGTCTGCATTCACGAGCATCGCGAGTCCAATGGCTGGTAAAGGAGCTCCAAGTCGTTGATACCCTCGTGTTTGCCAGTCTCGGTACTCCCACACGTGGTAGGACACATACGAACTGGGCGTGACAATGGGATCCGTTGTTGTTCCTCCGGTGCTGTCTTCGGACCAGTACACTTGGAAGCGATATGACCTGCGCCACTCCCGATACGTGGAAGCGTAGACCGGGTCGAGCACTGGAGCATCATCGGGAACGGGTCGCCACGTGCCCGGTGAGTAAATTCGAATCCATTCCACTCCTCTGTCGATCTGGTACTCGAAATATTGAGGGTTCATAGCGGCAAGACAGGCTATCGCGCGGCCGCTAAAAGCAATCGAAAATCTGCGGCGAAGACACACATGCAATGACAACCGCGCGCAGCTGAAGGGATGCAAGGCAACTTTTCAAACTCAAGGTGAGACACAGCAGCGAGGTTTGTAATATACGACGCCTAAGCTTCACCGCCGTTGATGCCGCGCACACCTGCAATGATAATGTCGACAGTAATGCTTGCAATTTGCCGATGGGGACAGCGATGGACGGCCAGCACGTTTGGAGGGGAACACGGTAAAGGGCCGCCGAGATCTCCGCGGTGCAGAAGCGGATGCTGTCCGAGATCGTTTGGATGAACGCCCTGGACTGCGTAGCTCTTCATCACGGGAATGGCCAGTGCTGTAGATCGAGCGGCGTGTGCGCTGCGATTTCGATGTAGCAGGGCAGGATTGTCCGCGAGGAGCTGAGATCGAGGGGCTCCGTACTGAGGGCATAAACTGTGGGTGTAGAATCACCGGTGGTGGTGGCGGTGGAGGAGGTGGAGGTGGAAGAAGCAGTGGGAAACTTGGTGGGGGCGGAGGTGACGTAGTCTGCCGAATGGGTCTGTCAAGCAGGGCTCCAGGTCCGTGAAACTGTAACCACGTCGGCTGCGCTCCATGGGTCCAAGTAATGTACGTCTGTACGACTTGTTCCGACATGATTTGAGCAACTCAGTCATGCATTCAATTCACGTCAGCGGCAACACCCACAACGGCAAGCAATATTACCCTGGTAAAATGCCAGTCAAGTGCAAGCAAGCAAATTTCATGTGATCAATAATGACTGCAATCCCAACCGTCGCAACAACCTGCAGCGCTAAGCCGAATACACCGCCACGGCCTACCATTTAGTCCTCCTGTGGTCGCTGTTGCATTTGATGACCGGGTTCCTAGCCGCGAGCCTCAAGTTGCTGATAGACCTTCCATGCCTGCTTGACTTCCTCAATGGGCTTCTGAAGGAACCGAGCAATGGTTTTGTAGGTGGGCCTGGAATCCTTGTCTTTCTTCCGTCGCACCATCTCATCCAGCTCACCCTGTGTCCATGCCGTGAAAGGTTCACGGTGTGCATTGCGAAGTGCAATGGTGAATTCTTGTAGAAG